CTCAGCGTGAACCCTGGTTCCCCCTCTGACCCACTAGGGCCAGCAAGACCATCCTCAGTGTCAGAAATCTCCCCCTCTGACCTGCTGTGCCTTTTGAACCTTACAGCTGGCCCAGCAGGTGAGGAAAGGTTCACTCTTTGGTTCAGTCTTGACTACGGCTTGAGGAGGTGTTCTAGGTCTCCCCCTCTGATGAATCCTAAGCTGTCCCTGCTGTGGACTCTGTCCCTGTGGCGGACCCTGTTGCTCTGGACTTTGGTCCTCAGCAACAAGTTCCTCTTGCTCCTCACCATCTGAGTCATAGAACTGCTGTGAAAGCACGTCTGGATTGCCATGCAGACTCGACCAACCAGCCTGTTCACAGAACTCAGCACTATTGCTGATTACCAGTCTGGACTGGTTTCCACTTGGGTATGCAAACCTCCAAGCCTATGAGCCAGGCTCATACCCCACAAAGATCATTTTCTTGGACCTTGGCTCACCCTTCCTGCGTAGAGCCTTTGGAATAAGAACCCAGGCCTCACAACCAAACACACGGAGGTAATGCACCATGGGCTTCTTACAGTGCAGCAGGAAATAGGGTGTGTTTCCTACACTTGAATTGTACACTCTGTTCTGTGTGAAAACAGCAAAGCGCCAGGCCTCAGCCCAAAAGCGCTGGGGTAGCCCTGCATCAAAAAGAATTGCTGACACCGCTTCCTGCAAAAAACGATTTTTTCTCTCTGCAACTCCATTCTGTTGTGGACTATGAGGCGCGGTCAGCCTGTGGCTAATCCCCTTCTGTCTGAAGAAATTCTGCAAAGCAGACCCAGTGAACTCTGCCCCCCCCATCACTTTGAAAACTCCTCATCTTGGTGGAGAAGGTCACCTCAACCTACAGTGATCCAATCCTTGATCAACCCAGCAGCCTCCACCTTAGTTTTTAAACAAAAAACCCAAGCAGATTTCGAAAAATAATCGACAAGAAGAGGAGCATATTTTGAACCCCCTAGTGACTCAACTGACATGGGGCCGCACAAATCTGCATGCACTAACTCAAAAGGTTCAGTGGTCTTCCTGTCTGACTTGGGATAAGAGCATGTGACAACTTTCGACCATCTCCCTGGCTGGGGCCTTCACAAATGTCCTGCACGGTTGCCATGGATACTGCTCCAGACGTTGCCATAGTTGCAGGACCTCTGCTGGTGTTCTCACGCTGCGCCGTCTGATAACCGCCCGTTATCAGCTCCTTCTCCAGCTGCGCGACCTTGGAGCCTCTAGCAGGACAAAGCTTCTCACAGCCAGACTCCGGCTTTCGACGTAAACAGCTTTTGGAGACTTTTGGAGACAAAGGCTTCCCATAGCTCTCACTGCTGGCATCTGCACCCCCACTCTTGGGAGCAGAACTTCTGCCTGCACCCCCTCTGAGTGCAGGGCTTCCAGAGAAACAGCCCGAGGAACAGCTTGCCACTGCTTTCCTCCCAGCTCTCAGCCTCTCTCCCAGCTCATCACACAGATGTGTTGAAGCATCCAAACAGCTTCCAGGAACAGAAATAGCAACAGAAGTAGTCCCTTCACCCCCCCCCCACTGGGGGTACAAGGCTCCTCTCGGCCTTCAATAAGCTCACAAGGCTCTGGCCAGCCAAACCTGGGCTAACAAGGCTCACTGCCTTCTCAGGGCTCTTCTCAGTCATTTCTGGGCTCCACACTTCAGCCCCCTCTCGGCTCCTGGCGACTACCCCGGCCTCACATGCCTCCTGTAGTGCCCGCCAAGCTTCTGAGGGCGCCTTCCCTTGAAGGAGTGGCAGAAGACAAGCCTCCACGCCTGCTTCTAAAATGCCCAGCACACGCTGCTCCATCTCCTGGACCGCAGCCATCTTTGTCTCAGCTTTTTCACTAGCTTCAGGCGATGGGGGGTGCACACACTGCCACAGCTGTTCCCCCAGCAACAGATATTCCATCTGAAAGGACCATTCAAGCCAATTTTCTCCAGTTAGTCTCTCAAAGGGAAAATTTCCTTGGGGCTGAGCCATCTTTTCCCCATCCCTTCTGTGGCTAGAGTACTTACTCATTCTTGCTAACTGGGCATCCGGAAAGACTTGGCTCCCCTTCTCCAGCGACCTCAGAACTGCCTTTGTAGTTCTGGCAGGAGATCCAGCTGGCACAGCGTCTCCTTGCACTCCCTTCTCATCACGTAGCAACTAAAACGTTGGCTCTCATAACCTGTAGAACTTCTGCCTGTCCAGTGAGTTTCCGCTGTGTACAAAACACTGCTTTGCTCTCAGTGCAATCTTCTGAGGGAAACTCCACCTAAGGCAGGAACAGCAGAGATGCAGCGGCGTTGCTGTCGTGAAGTAGAATAGGGAATGATATAGTCCAGAGACAAGAGTCTTCTATTCTAAGAAGCTTTATTTACAAGCAGAAGCAATTTACATTCCATCAGAGCTTAGTTCCATCGTGGCTTTCTCCTTTCGCTCTCGGAGAGAAGTGAAACTAAACACAGAGAACAAAGAACCTGTGACGTACAGTGCAGCATCGTATGGACGTTCCTCCCCCCAGGGCAGAACACAAAGGAGGTTAACCCTATAACCACCAAACTCTACATCCAGTGCCTTTCGCACGACGTTTGGTTTTATTATTTTTTTATTATTATTTTATTTAGTTAATGACATTCGCACACTGGTCTATTGAATATACAGCCTTGAAGAAAAAGGAAATTGCAGGAGACTGATTGTTAAGAGTCTTTGCTGCCCAGCCCAACTGCCTTGAATGTACGAGGTATTGCAGCACCTCGGCCTTTTTAGAGGGGTTTTCCGGCCTAACATTCTTTATCTTATTTTGAAACTCCACAAAATCAGACCAGGCCTTTTTATACGATCTAAGCATGGAAGGGGCTACCGACACCAATACTCCCTTCATGACGTCTCGTTCCCAAGGCTCCAAAGGTGCTCCGGGAATGGCTGTGGCGAATGCTGCACTTCTGGTGCTAACGAGCGAAAGCGATCCATCTGAAGAAAAGATAGAGCATCTGCGATGTCATTGTTAACCCCAGGTAGAAACTTAGTGGAGAAATAGATGTTTAGTTCTCGGCACAAAAGGACTAAGGACCGAAGCAGGTTTCCCACCTTAGGGGAGCGTGATGATTGTTTTAACAGGACATAGACGACTGCTTGGTTGTCTGCCCAAAAACGTATCCAGTGATTCCTAAACTCCTTGGCCCACAAGTGCACCGCAGCTACGATAAGGGGGGGGGGGGGGAATTCTAGGAAGGCGAGGTCAAGCGTAATGGGCTTTCCCTGCCAGGCAGAGGGCCCCGTGTCAGACTCTACCTGAAAGTCTGCACAAAATGTCAGGTTATCCTGCCATAAGGAAATGCCATTGTATTTGTCCAAAACCTTAAACTACACCTCCAGGTCAGACTTTACAGCTTTAGAAAGGTGCACTCTGTGTTGAGGAGCCTGCAATCCTGCTGACAACTTTGCCCAACGCCCACAAAAGGGGGCGGCCAGGGGATACCACTTGGCAAGCGAAGTTGAGGTGACCCAGTAGCAATTGAATCTGTCTAAGGATGACCTTCCTGAAGGGAAGAAGCTGTAAGATTAATTACTTAAGTGCAGTTAACTTTTCCTTGGGTAAGAGGGGTGTCTGTACGATTGTGTCCAATTCTATGCCCAAATAAGTCATGGTTGTGACTGGGCCCTCTGTTTTGTCCGCGGCCAGAGGTACACCAAGATCCTCAGCCAGGGAGGTGAAAGTCTCTAAAGAACAGCACAATCTGGCCTATTACTTGCCACCAGAATAAAGTCACCGAGGTAGTGGGCCACCCCCTAAGATCCAGTTTTAAAACGAAGGGCCCAGTCCAAAAATGCGCTAAAGGACTCAAAGGCAGCACATGCTACCGAGCACCCCGTGGGCATGGCTTTATCTATGAAATATGCCCCCTCAAATCTATTTTATTATTATTATTATTTAGGTAATGGGATAGGAGGTTCCTTGAAGGGTCCCGCTTGTTGGGATTTTAGTATCTCACCAACTGCGAGGAGCAGCTACTGTGTTGACATCATGTGATGTCTCTGAGCGTGAGACAGGAAGTCTCAGCCAGTTCTCATGTAACCGGAGAGTTACTTAGAGTTACTTTCGCTTCTGAGTCGAAGCATGAGTCGAGTCGGAGACTCTTGTGTTATGCTGCTCAGGAGAGCAGTCATGCCTGTACAGTCTTAATAAAGTAGTGAGTAGACTACGGACTGTCTCTTTCTTCTGTGATGAGATGCCAGAAGGAGGCGAGTGTGCTCCTCTCAGGAGGGAGGGGTCGCTTATCACCGGTCTCTCTGGACTGAGGGTGGATTCCAGCCAGAGAGTGACCACCGGAGAGAAGCCCTGGTGTCTTGGGAAGTTGGCACCCTTCACGTTTTTCCAACACCGCTACCCTCCCAGCTAGGATTACTTTTTTTTTTTTAATATCCAGCCTTTCCTTAACTGATGTTTGGTTCGGGGGGGGGGGGGTCCCCTGAGTTAGGTGGGAATGAAATAGGGATTCTAAAACCGAGGGTAAAACCCTTCCCAAAGGTACCTTGCTGCTTGTTTGTTTGGGTATAAGTCAAGAAGGGATTTTAGAGGTTGCAGCTTAACTGGTGAGAAGGCCAGACCAATGTTCGCATTAATATCGGTTTCCGGCCGCACCCTGGGAGGGTCCGGGGGTCCCCCTTGTTCCCTAATGGAAGTGCCCCCCTGCCGCCCCGAAAGGGCTGTTTTCCTTTGAAACATGACGTAGCTGGGTGGTTACCCAGGCACTTCTCACATTTTTGAAGGTACTTACAGTTTGGCCTCATATAAACCCCCTGTAAACTCCCAGCACTGCCTTCTGCGTCTTGACTCAACCTTTCCGAACTTAAAGTGTTCATGCGGTTTCTTCTCCATGTAGGGACCCACGTGTTCCATCCAGTAATTCTGGTCCCTCGGGTCCCAGCGGGTGGTGAGCAGCAAGGAAGCATTTCTGAATCGTCCTCGGTATCCGAAGGCTTACTTTACTTACTCTTCTTTGATGAATGTTTCTTCCTAGCCTTCCTCTTTCCCCCTTGCCCATCACTGGTAACCAGGATTGAGGCGACAGCCGCTGGCGTTTCCTGTTGTACCTGTACCTCCTCATCGTTAGATGATCCTGATGTATCCACCGTGGGTGTAGATTGAGTTCGCGGCTCCTGTAATATACATATATATATATATATATATTAGAGAGCTGGAGCTCTTCTTGGAAGCAACAGAGCACACCGTCTCCACCAAGGAGCAGACAGGGGACTCCCCTGAGAAGGAGGCTAGTTCACCAACACAGGAGCCAGATATATGGAGAAACGTGACTCAAAGAAGTAGGAGGCCCAGGGTTTGCTCTGATTGTTTAGAAATACACAATCGCTTTGAGGTCCTCTCCCCTAGCATGGAAGACGAAGAGCAGACCCCATTTAAGGATCTCTCCCTCATTACAGTCGATCAGGTATATGAAGACGAGCAGCAAAGTCAGTCCTCCGGGAATGTGCAGGCGACCTTGGAATGGACAGCTCATGGAAGAACCCCGACCAAACCTAAGAGGAGGCGTGTAGTGGTGATAGGGGATTCCCTACTGAGGGGAACAGAAGCAGTGATCTGTGGGCCTGACAAGATGTCTCGGGAAGTGTGCTGTCTCCCCGGGGCTAAGATCCAAAATGTAACTGAACGACTGCAAGGAATCATAAAACCCACTGACAAATACCCCTTCCTCTTGGTTCATGTGGGAACCAATGACACTGCAAGCAATAGCCTCCAGAAGATCAAAAGAGACTACGAGGCTCTGGGCAGGAAATTGAAGCAATTAAATGCACAAATTGTCATCTCATCTGTCCCCCCAGTTGAGCGACGTGGCCCAGGGAGAGAGGGAAAAATAGTGGAAGTGAACAGCTGGCTTTGCAAATGGTGTAAACAGGAACGGTTTGGATTCTTAGATCACGGACTGCAGTTTCTTGAAGATGGACTTCTGGCAAGCGATGGGCTGCACCTCACAATGGTTGGGAGGAATGTTTTTGCCAAAAATCTCAGAAACCTCATCAGGAGGGCTTTAAACTGACTAATGTGGGGGAGGGAGGCAGTGCTCCTGAAGGTAGGAGTCTATCAATTGATGAAGATGATCATCCAAATGGAGCAAACAGCACGCAGACCTAGTGGTGGGAGGAAAAAATCCTTAAATAAGAGACACGGGGAATGATTAATGGACTTCAATGTCTGTACACTAATGCGCAAAGCATGGGAAATAAACAAGATGAGCTTGAGCTCTTGGTACAGCAAACTAAATATGACATAATAGGCATCACTGAAACCTGGTGGGATAAGTCCCACAATTGGAATGTAATAATGGAGGGATACAATCTATTTCAGAGAAACAGACCAGACAAGAAAGGAGGAGGAGTGGCGTTATATGTCAGGGATGTGTATACCTGTGAAGAGATCCAAGATTTAGAACCTCAAAGCCAAAGTGAGAGCATTTGGGTCAAAATTAAGGGAGAGAAGAATAACAGTGACCTCATTGTGGGAGTTTACTATAGATCCCCAAGCCAAACGGAGGACATAGATGATGCCTTCCTGGAACAGATGGCCAAGCATGCAAAAGGAAGGGAGATCGTAGTAATGGGGGACTTCAATTTGTTGGCCTTTTGCAGTATGGTAGCGCTGCAGAGAGCTTGCTGGGGAGACCATGCATTAAAAAGGGACTCAAAAATAACTTAAACAAGGTTTTAATAAGAAAAACAAAAACTCCTTTTACACTAAATACATTAACAAACAAACATGACCCAACCACCAACCCATCCCCCAGGGTAATGGGAGAGCTAGGTGCTGCTCCTTATATACTACACCCAATTACCAACACAGCTTAATCAATACAACTCAGCAGCACCTGCTATGTTTCACAGCTGTAAAGCTGGGTCTCGTTATTTTGCTCTGGCCCTTTCTCTGGCCCCTTAAAGACATACACATCGAGTGGAACAATGATGAGCCTTTACATATTAAACCATTCAACACAATTACCCGGATATTTGTTGGATGTCAAACTCAGCCAAGAGCATAAGGTCAAACAGATTCCTCACTGGCCTTGCAGACAACTTCATTGTCCAGAAAGTGGGAGAAGCAACAAGAGGAACAGCCATTTTAGATCTGGTCCTAACCAATGTTGATGACCTGGTTAGTGGGGTAGAAGTGGAAGGATCATTAGGCGCGAGTGATCATGCTCTTCTGAAGTTTACTATACAGCGGAAAGGAGCAGCCAAGCATACTAGGACTCAATTTCTTGACTTTAAGAAAGCCGACTTCATAAAACTTAGGGAAGTGCTGGGTGAGATCCCATGGACAGTAATACTAAAAGGAAAGGGAGTTCATGATGGCTGGGAGTTTGTTAAGAGGAGATAGTAAAAGCACAACGTCAGGCAATACCAATGAGACGGAAACATGGAAGGTGCCTAAAGAAGCCAGGGTGGCTATCTAAAGAACTTTTAACTGACTTAAGATTAAAAAAGGATGTGTACAAAAAATGGAAAAGGGGGGAAACCACCAAAGAGGAATTCAAACAAATAGCCAGCACGTGAAGACACAAAGTCAGAAAAGCTAAAGCACAGAATGAACTCAGGCTTGCTAGAGAGGTTAAAAGCAACAAAAAAGGCTTTTATGGGTATGTTCGTAGCAAAAGGAAGAACAAAGAAACAGTGGGGTCACTCAGAGGAGAAGATGGTGAAATGCAAACAGGGGACACAGAAAGGGCTGAACTCCTCAATGCCTTCTTTGCCTCAGTCTTCTCCGATAAAGAAAACAATGCCCGACCTGAAGAATTTGAAGCAAATGATTCAGCAGAGGAAACACAGCCCAGAATAACTAAGGAGATAGTACAAGAATACTTGGCTAGTTTAGATGTATTCAAGTCTCCAGGGCCAGATGAACTGCATCCAAGAGTATTAAAAGAACTGGCAGATGTGATCTCAGAACCACTGGCAGTCATCTTTGAGAATTCCTGGAGAACAGGCGAAGTCCCGGCAGACTGGAGGAGGGCAAATGTTGTCCCTATTTTCAAAAAGGGGAAAAGAGAGGACCCAAATAATTACCGCCCAGTCAGTCTGACATCAATACCAGGGAAGATTCTGGAGCAGATTATTAAGCAAACAGTCTGTGAGCACCTAGAAAGGAATGCTGTGATCACCAATAGTCAGCATGGATTTCTGAAAAATAAGTCATGTCAGACTAACCTGATCTCGTTTTTTGACAGAATTACAAGCCTGGTAGATGAAGGGAACGCAGTGGATGTAGCTTACCTTGATTTCAGCAAGGCATTTGACAAGGTGCCCCATGATATTCTTATAAAGAAGCTGGTAAAATGCGGTCTTGACTATGCTACCACTCAGTGGATTTGTAACTGGCTGACTGACCGAACCCAAAGGGTGCTCATCAATGGGTCCTCTTCATCCTGGAGAAGAGTGACTAGTGGGGTGCCACAGGGTTCTGTCTTGGGCCCGGTCTTATTCAACATCTTTATCAACGACTTGGATGATGGACTCAAGGGCATCCTGATCAAATTTGCAGATGACACCAAATTGGGAGGGGTGGCTAACACCCCAGAGGACAGGATCACACTTCAAAATGACCTTGACAGATTAGAGAACTGGGCCAAAACAAACAAGATGAATTTTAACAGGGAGAAATGTAAAGTATTGCACTTGGGCAAAAATGAGAGGCACAAATACAAGATGGGTGACACCTGGCTTGAGAGCAGTACATGTGAAAAGGATCTAGGAGTCTTGGTTGACCACAAACTTGACATGAGCCAACAGTGTGACGCGGCAGCTAAAAAAGCCAATGCAATCCTGGGCTGCATCAATAGGAGTATAGCATCTAGATCAAGGGAAGTAATAGTGCCACTGTATTCTGCTCTGGTCAGACCTCACCTGGAGTACTGTGTCCAGTTCTGGGCACCACAGTTCAAGAAGGACACTGACAAACTGGAACGTGTCCAGAGGAGGGCAACCAAAATGGTCAAAGGCCTGGAAACGATGCCTTATGAGGAACGGCTAAGGGAGCTGGGCATGTTTAGCCTGGAGAAGAGAAGAAGAAGAAGAAGAAGAAGAGTTTGGATTTGATATCCCGCCTTTCACTCCCCTTCAGGAGTCTCAAAGCGGCTAACATTCTCCTTTCCCTTCCTCCCCCCCAACAAACACTCTGTGAGGTGAGTGGGGCTGAGAGACTTCAAAGAAGTGTGACTGGCCCAAGGTCACCCAGCAGCTGCATGTGGAGGAGCGGAGACTCAAACCCGGTTCCCCAGATTACGAGACTACTGCTCTTAACCACTACACCACACTGGCTCTCCTCCTTAAGAGGAGGTTAAGGGGTGATATGATAGCCATGTTCAAATATATAAAAGGATGTCACATAGAGGAGGGAGAAAGGTTGTTTTCTGCTGCTCCAGAGAAGCGGACACGGAGCAATGGATCCAAACTACAAGAAAGAAGATTCCACCTAAACATTAGGAAGAACTTCCTGACAGTAAGAGCTGTTCGACAGTGGAATTTGCTGCCAAGGAGTGTGGTGGAGTCTCCTTCTTTGGAGGTCTTTAAGCAGAGGCTTGACAACCATATGTTAGGAGTGCTCTAATGGTGTTTCCTGCTTGGCAGGGGGTTGGACTCGATGGCCCTTGTGGTCTCTTCCAACTCTATAATTCTATGATTCTATGACTAGGAACATCTGCAACCAGCTGTGAAGCAGAACGATTATTCCGGCCAGAAGGAGTCTTGCCACCCCCGGAACCGAGCATGGACTTTTTGGAAAGCGTAGACTGTGAACGTGTGAGGGGGCAGTTATCTGTGCTGTTGCCAGGTTGCGCAGCATTGAAACAAGATGCTGAAGTGCCGGGGCGCTCCTGGTTGCTGGGGAGGGTGTCTAGAATGTAATCCTGGGTGCTAGCTACTGTTGTAGAGGCCCCCGCGACCATTGGCCTGAACTGTTGATAGAAACTTTCAAATGCTGAGAAAAAACTGAGCTAAAGCCTGAGGGTTGCATGGCTTAGCCAGGATTTGCGACCCTCCCTGTGTTCCGGACTCACCGCTATTGGGAGACGGGGCCTGTTGATTTCCCCTGAGACTTTTGTGAGCGCAAAGAGTAAGAGTGCGTGTGAGGGCGACTACCCGTGCTGCTGCCAGGGTGTGCAACACTTAAACAGGAAGCTGATGTACCTGGGAGCTCCTGATTGCTAGGTAGTGTGTCTGGAATGCAATCCTGAGTGCCTACCATTGTCGCCGAGGACCCTGCGACCCCTGGCCTGCACTGTAGATAGAATGTTTCAGAAGCGGAAAAGAATTGGGCAAAGGCCTGGGGGTTGCAAGGCATGACAGGAGTTTGCGACCCGCCCTGCACATCAGGCCCGCTTCCATTGGTAAAGGGTGCCTGTGGGTTACCCCTGTTAGCCATGTCACCACAGCAATTAATTGCCCTGCCACTCAAATCAGTTAATGCTCTAGCGGTACGCTATAGCTCAGTATTAACACACCAACCTTAAAACAGCACCGGCTCTAATGGTGTTCCTAGCTCAGTATTGTCTACACTACCCAACAACAGTTCTAAATGCCCAATTTTGCTGGGGTTCCTACTGCGCCACTCTCACTCAAACTGCAACAAGATATATCTATGAGACACAAGTGCTTTTCTGCCTTAAAAAGGTATAAGGATTTTATGAGCCATGCGCTGAGGGATAACACTTTAAATTTTTCAGCCACCAAGCCCCGCAATTAAATCAGCTGAGCACGCTATGAGTAAAGCACTAACAGCAGCACTTTAAAGCTTCAATTAACTTGCTGCAAATAATAAAGGCTTGAGCCAGCGTGAGAGGCCAGCCCCGACAGGTGGCTAATTAGGTAGGCAACTTTCTGGGCATCGTTAGCAAACTGAGCTGATTCCAGCTCCAAAAAATATCTCATCTCAGTCTTAAAGTCCAAGTAGCTCCCTGGATCGCCGTTAAACTTCTCCACCCATGCAACTCTGCCCTTCCCCAATAGCCCACCTGCGGCACCACTCTGTGCAGGTCCGGCTTCCTCCAGAAGCGACTGCAGGTCCGAGGCCCGGGCTTCCAATCCGGCATTGTGCTTACGTAGTTCGGAAAGTTCCTTCTCCATTTCTGCTTTTACTTCCTTTCACTAGCTTTCAGCAGGCGAGACGACTCATGCTGACAGGATTTATGAGCTGACAAGCTAGCTAAGATAAAGTTCCGGCAACTCGCCATCTCTGTATAAGATTTATTGCTCAGCTTCAAAGCATTTTACAAGAGTTCAAAAACATACATCCTTCTCCTACGAGCCAGATGAGTCGTCTGGCGTCTTTTTGTGACGTCTCCAGCAGGCCCATCTCCGAAGTTCATGCCTCCTCTTTCCTCTGCTCTGTGAGTGGCTGGGCCCTGGCATCTGCTCCCCCCTCCCAGCTTCCTCCTCTGACGTGGAAGAAAAACTACTGATTACCGACTTGGGCTCTCTATACTTGTCTCCCTCCCCCGTCAGTTCTCTGGCAGCCTCCAATTTTCTGACACAGCGCTCCCTGCCTTTTCTTACTATCCCAGCACTGGACACTTTAACTTCACCCCCCTAGGCAGGTTATGCTGTACAAGTAATTTTTTAAAATTTTATTTTATTTATATATATATATATATATATATATATATATATATATGTATGTATATATATATATTAAATTGCTTAAAATAAATAAATTGACCAAAGCTGCCAAATCGAGCAAAGGATCAAGCTCTGAGTGATTGGTAAGTAATTGGGCTACCAGAAACAGCTTAAATAAGCCTGCAAACCTCAGTTAAGATCCCTTGCCAGCACAATGCCCTCACCCAAAATGGCGTACGCGGCTTCACCACGTGGTACACACAAGCTGGTGCCGGGAGCCGTAACCCAGGCAACTGCCCAGCTTCCTAGACGCCCAGGCAGCCGCAGGAGGAGGGGGATGAATGGGGGGGTATTGAACGCACAGAATCAAGCCGCCGAAGCAGGGGTAGCTGACGAAAGGCTTAACCAGGAACAAACCCTGGCCCCCACCAGTACCAACCAGCAGGCAGGGGCTAAAACCACGTGTCTACCCCCCTCGCTATCAAACCCCAAAGGAAGGCAAACCTTAGGCGAGTGCTGAGGCAGCTCGCCAACGACTCTGCTTGCAACTCCGGGGTGGGGGAGAAAATTGCCTGCTTTTGGCAGCACAGCGCTCAGCTCTCCGTGACTCTTTGATTAAAACAGCCAGCGGCTTGTAGCGACACAGCTCTCAGCTCCCCTGTGCCCCGAGCAGCAGCGGCTTACTGCTACAGGTTCCCTTGCCGATTTTCTGGGCACAGCCTCTGCACACAGTTTTTTCTCAACGCCGACGGAAGGAGCGCCCGAGCAGAGCCCGAACCAGCTCAGGGCAAAGAAGGCAAGGTTCTTTTCAGCCCGTTGCTGCAGGGGAATCAAACTCCTAAAGGTAAATAACCACGCAAAACCTGATAGCAGCAACGGAAACAAGCTGAAAAGGCAAAACAGCTGAAAACAAAGCAGCGAACAAAAACCTCAGCAGCTGAGCGGCCAAAAGAGGGAAATCCCAGGGCTGTGCTTGCCTTAAGTGAGGCAAGCCACACACCACGAGCCAGCCGATTGGCTGGCTCAGGGGATGATGCAGCCCCAAGGATTCCCCTGATTGTGCGGGGGCTGGGGACGTGAAGCCCACAACACCACCTCCTCCCGAGGTCGGAAGTGGCTTTACCATCAAGAATTGCTACCCCCTGCCGTTAATTCCAGAGTTGTTCGAGAGGCTACAGGGTGCAAAGGTCTTTACTAAATTGGACTTACGTGGGGCATACAACCTGGTTCGGATCCAGGAGGGGGACGAATGGAAAACAGCATTCCAGACCTGGTACGGCCATTTCGAGTACCCGGTCATGCCTTTTGGACTGTTTAATGCACCAGCCTGTCAGTATATGGAAACATCACCGCTGCAGACACCCAGATTGTTGTCATCACATGATGCGGCTATCTGTGGGAAAGAAGAGTTTCCCAGGACGTTCACAGGCTGGATAAGTCTTTGTGAAGAGTGTAACTTGAAACCTTCCGACTGCGCATGTTCAGGAAGTTTGTCAGACTTGCTGGAAGAACTGAACTGAAAGGACGTGTTTTTCTCTAGTGCTGTAATGTCAGAAATAAACATCATGTAAATAGATTTCTGACTTGTTTTTTTCCCCCCTGCGGAAGCAGGAGGGAGGGGTTGTGCATTTTACCCACGCTTGGGAAAATGTCACCTATCAAAATCTCCCTGGTCCGTCCGAGATATCAGCCAGAGGTGGTTACCGGTAAGCAAGCTCCGAGGACAGTGAGAGGGGCCAGCCTCTATGGAGGGGGCTTGCAAACCGACACAGCCACGTTCCAGTACTTTGTAAATGACGTTCTGCATGACTTACTGGACTGGTTCATGGTCGCGTATTTGGATAACATCTTGATACTTTCTACATCCCCAGAGGAGCATTGCCAGCATGTCCTCCTAGTCCTGCAGCGTCTTCGGCAGCACCGGCTGTATGCCAAGCTGGAAAAGTGTGCTTTTCACCAGGAGCGCATGGAGTTCCTGGGGTACATCATCTCCCCTGCAGGTCTCCAGATGGACCCCCAAAAGGTGCAGGTGGCCTTGGATTGGAGCCCCCCCCGAATGAAAAGGGGGTACAACGGTTCATTGGGTTTGCCAACTTCTACCACCGCTTCATTTGGGGATTTTCACATGTGGTTGCCCCCATTTGCGCCCTGATCCAGAAGGCTGCTGCGTTTCAGTGGACACCGGCAACGCAAGAGGCGTTTGACTTCCTGAAGGAGGCTTTTACCTCTGCCCCCATCCTGGCCCATCCGGACTAACAGCTCCCTTTCGTGCTCAAGGCGGACGCCTCGGACCGGGCGATTGGGGCCGTGCTGTGTCAAAGACAGGGGCCACAACAGTTGCTTCATCCCTGTGCCTTCTTTTCCCGCCAGCTTACTTCTGCGGAGCAGAATTGTGATATTTGGGATCGTGAACTCTTCGCCATTAAATTGGCGTTCGAGGGACTTCCGGGGGAGGCGCCTCCAGCAATGGCAGAATTCCTCTGACCGGGAGGAATCTGCTCCGTGGAAATCTGGGTCTGGCCGCCACGGCGAAGGCGGAGACCCATTAAAATCACAGGCGGGAGAAGCCTGTGAACGTGGGATTCGGCGGGCACCTTTTGCGCCTCCCCCACTCGCGGGGAACCCCGGTTTTTGGGGCTCCGGAGCGACGTGGGGTGAGCGGCACGGTGCATCGAATCGTCTGCTTCTTCCACGGAGCGAAGCCGCATAGCTGTTGCCAGAGAGCGCTGACCTTTTCCTGTGGACAATTTGACTTTAAAGTAATTACCCGTGAGTAGAGCTGAAACGGAAGAATTGGATCTCTAAAAGTTTAATTTGGTATCGTAACGGGGAGGTTCAAAACAGGAAGTCCGCCTTCCCTTTTTGTAAATAGACTGAGGCAATGAAGTCGCAAGCTGGAGTCCTTGAAGGTCTTTTGTAAAAGATCAAATTTCCAACGGTAAAGAACATTAAACCACCTCTTGGAGGCAGGAGAAGAGAGGGGGAAGTTGTGGATTGAGTATGCCTGCGGGAGAGAGCGAAGAGGCTTCAAACACCGCCGCTCTGACCCTGGAAACGGGCTGCTAGTAAGACTGATGTTTTTTGTGTTTTTTTTTTGAATGTTCATTGACAGTGCTTAGAACGTTCATTGACAGCTAGCTAAATAAGAGAACTACATTGTTTCTACTGTTTCCGGTTGTTTTTAAAAAAGGAGGAAAGTAACTGAAAATTGAAACTAACTTCGGATTATTGAAACTGTGTTTAAAAGAGGACATATTGACCGATACAAATACAACCTGTTTTCCCCTAGTGGAAGCTTTTGAAATTGGTTACTTTATAGGAGCTGGGCTAGGGGAATTTCCAGCTGCAAGATAAGAAAAGTGTGAGACTTTGGAATTGACCTTGAATCTCTTAAGTGTTATGGCAAACGGAAAGGAAAAAACAGACGGGATGTCGACAGGAGGCCGTAGTGGCTGCATTATTGAAAATAAACGATTCGCTGGAACAACTCCATAAGAAAACAGATGCGATAAATGTGAAATTGGATGTTGCAAATATTGAAACTGATTTAATTGTAGAAAGTTTAAATACTTTGGGACAAAAGGTGAATACCAATTCAGAAACCACCCAGAAACTGATACAGGAATCTACTCTGATACGGCAAACTGCAGATGAAGTCAGGGAAAAGACCCTTGCTGCTGAATCTAAAGTAATACAACTGGAGAGGAGAGTCCCATCCATACAAAGACAACTTGATGAACATAAGCTGACATTCGTTATGATTGAACTTAAAGAAGAACGGATGAATTTGAGGACCAGAGCCCTATCTGAATTGGAAAAGGAAAGCCTGACAGAGTTTCAGGAGGCGACAGGACTAACATTGGTTGAGAAAGAGAGGTATTTGGGGGTTAGTATGACCGCCAAAAATGTGAATCTGCTTAAGGACAACTGTGAAGGATGTTGGATTGAAGAGAAGAGGGATTTGGAAATATGGACAAATCAGAAGTTGTTACTGTTGGGCCGAGTTATTGTGGTGGGGATGAGGGCTGCTGTGTTGCTGGGGATGTTGCTTTTGTTTCAAACATTGCAAGCTCTGGATGGGATGGAGTGTCTCAGGAGGTGGCAGAGGGATGCTCCTAGAGTTGTTTGGCAGGGCAGGAAGCCTCGGGTTAAGCTTAAGATATTGATGGATGCTAAAGAAGGAGGTGGACCTGCCCTGCCAGACCTTTAAACTTCGTTGTGAACCATCTGCCTTTTGCTGGTTGAGAGAATGGTTGCTTCTTGAAAACACTGAAGTGTTGGACAATGGCAGACGAAGTTGATGGACTATAGGGAATTGGCGGAAATGACTGGCAAGATCCGAGACCAGGGTGAAGAGTCGGTGGAAGAAGATTGGAAAAGTTTAAAGACTATTTATAGAAATATTGTAAAATTAAGGAATGTTAGAAAAATGTTGGAATGAAATTACATGGCTTTAGTAGAAATGTCATAAGGAATTAAGTATAAATAGATTAATAGAAAATTAAAGGAAAAGTATGGCAAGAATGTGTTAAGATAATTATAGAACAGAAAACAGAGTAAGATGGAAAGGAATTGCTGAAACAAATAATAGAAGTGGAATACAAAAAGGGAGGTGTGAGGAAGTCGCTGGAAATAAGTGAATGAAATATAAGATATTGAAAATGTTTGAGGTGTTTTTAAATTGTTTTTGTTTGTTTTTGCTTGATTTGTTAGTCCATGTAGCGTTTTTGTATTGTATTCGTATTGTATTTTCTTTTCCCCCCTCTTTTTTTCTTTTTCTTTTTGTTTGTAGTGTTGTGTTGGAAATTTTGAAAAAGTAATAAATATCATTTTTAAAAAATTAATAAATTGGTGTTCGAGGAATGGCGCCACCTGCTGGAAGGAGTCCAGCACCCGGTTCAGGTCCTCACGGATCATCAGAACCGCAAACATTTCCAAGCCATGAAATGCCTTAAGCCACGCCAAGCACGGTGGGCCTTGTTCTTCGCACATTTTAATTTCCAGATCGCCTATCGCCCCAGCACCCAGAACGGAAAGGCCAACGCTCTTTCCCGGAGGGACTCGGATTCTGGGAATGATGGTTCGGAGCCATTGCCCATGTTGACCTCAACCAATTTTGTCCAGGGAACCTGGGAGCAGGACTTTCAGGCACAGGTGCGCCTAGCCGTGCGCCAGGATCCATTCACAAAAGACTGGTTGGATACTGGCCCAGTGCCTTCAGGACCAGGGGGTGCACCGTTTGATGTCTGGGATGGGCGTGTGTACCATCACGGCCGACTCTACATTCTGGAGGGGCTGCTCCGGTCCCAGGTCCTTGAGCAGTGCCACGATGTGTGAACTGCTGGACATGGGGGATACGTGAAGACACTGCAGCTACTGGCCCAAGCTTTCTGGTGGCCAGGGGTTTCAGTGGACATTAAGAAGTACATGTGGTCCTGTGAGACTTGTGATCGGACCAAGGTGCCACGGCAGAGATCCCAGGGGCTCCTCCAGCCGTTACCCACCCCCCCACAGGCCATGGTCAACGCTTTCTATGGACTTCATCGTGGACCTCCCTGTGTCCAAAGGACAGTCGGTCATTCTGGTTGTGGTGGTGGATTCACTCACCAAGATGGCACACTTCATCCCGGCTCGAAGCCTCCCCACAGCGCAACAGACAGCCCACCTGTTTCTTGAACACGTGTTCCAGCTACATGGACTCCCGGACACGGTGATCTCCCATGGGGCCCCCAGTTCACATCCCGGTTCTGGGTGGCCTTCAAGGGACTGGGTATTGAGAGACGCCTCTTTTCTGCATACCACCCTTAAACAGACGGTCAGATGGAGAGGGTTAATCAAGTCCTGGAGCAATATCTCTGCTGCTTCCTAAGCTACCATCAGGACGATTGGTTGGACCTGCTGCCACTGGCTGAGTTTGCCTATAACAACGACTGCCATGCCTCCACGGGACAGAGCCCTTTCTGCGCCAACTTTGGGTACCACCCACACAACCATCCCTGCACACCGGTGGCATCTCTCGTGCCTTCCGCCAATGATCGAGTCTCCCACATCCAGGAGACACAAGCTGACCTGGTACGGCACCTAGAGAGAGCCAAGGCAGATTATAAGGCGCAAGCAGATTGACGGCGCCAGCAGGGGCCCGCATTCCAGGTCGGGGATAAGGTCTAGCTGTCCTTGGAGCACCACAGCACTGGACTTCCCTCGGCTAAGCTGGACTACAAGTACCAGGGACCATTCACCATCCTGCCGCAGATCAATCCAGTCGCCTACAACTTGGAGCTTCCCCCCTCTCTGAAGATCTACCCAATATTTCATATATCCCAGCTCAAGCCTTGCCATGCGGACCATTTTCCAGGTCGCATCACCCCACCACCACCACTGGTCTAGGTTGACAGCCATGAGTAGTTCCAGGTTGCTCAGGTCCTGGACTCGAAATGGCTCCATGGCAAGCTCCACTATCTAATTGACTGGGTGGGCTATGGGCTGGAGGAACAATCGTGGGAGCCAGCCGACTTTATGCACCCGCCAGAGGTTCCCAGACAAGCCCAGGCCATGACCGGGGGTGGAACCCCGTTTTCCTATGGGGGGGGAGTACTGTCAGGAGTGCGTGCAAGAGCCAGGCCCTGTGACCGGTAGGGCTTCGCAGGACTGGGCTTTCCTAAGTTTGTTCTCAAGCGGCAAGGTGCGGCCACATAGGTGAGGCCGATTGGTAACTCACAGCACCTGGTGGTAAGAGCAGGGATATAAGGTCAGCATTTCCCTTTGGCTCTTTGTCACAGCAACATGCTTCATGCCTTGCTGCGTTTGGCTTCTTGACTCTTTGCTTCCTGATCCTCGGACCCTTGGCTTCTTGACTCCTGGTTTCCTGACCCTTGGCTCCCTGACTCCTGGCTTCCGGACTCTAGTTCCTGCTCCCACCCCACTGTCTTGCCTCTGGTCCCGACTGTTATAATATTCCGTTCCACTTTTACAGACGTGTGGAATTGTTGTATGTCACATGTCTGTTTACACTCCAGCACAGCTTGCTGGGAACTTCCGTTGGTGTATAGCTTTGGCTTTTGCTGCTTGCTTGAATACAAAAGAGAGAAGACATGTTTTTCCCTTTGTCCTGATGCTGAATAGCTGCCTGTAAATATGCTCATCACAGCCGTCTCCTGCCACTTCTGTTGCGTGTTATTCACTCTGCTGATTAGAGCATGCTCAAGCTTCTGAAGGCTTCTGAAGCTGTGAGTCGCTGTTTGATGCTGAGCCAAGGACCAGAGATCGCCCGGCTGCTGGCCCGTGGGCTGGAGCCAGCTGGGGACTTGCAAATTGCCCCCGTTCCCTTGGATGCATCCCAACACTGACATCCTCCGCCAGGACTTCGACCACCCATAAACCTGACCGTGACACAAGGGCTCTGAGACGTAATTTGTTTTTATTAAATAATCAATAAAATTTAATTTTTAAAATATATCAGATAACATAAGAGGGTACAATTTTAACTATTCTCACGAATGTGTGAGTTATTTCAGGCTCAAAGAAATCTTAAACCTGTCCAAAAAAAGTATTTTTTTTTTTGTAAAAAATTTCAAAATCAATTTATTTTTTAACCACAAAAAACACCCTCCTTATTTTTAAAACATACCAAGTACATGGTTAGCCCATTCTACAACAAAAGTATGATAAACATGTTAGTTGTGGTTTTCGCGCTATGGCTTATCAAACCTACCAGGAATAAAATGACAAAAATTCACTTTGAATGGTCGGTGACCCTTTTCTGTAGCACTTAATACCATTTTTATACCTTATTTTGAAAGAGACCACAATTAGCTTTATTCTGATACTTTTCAACCAATTGGGCTATTTTGGTAAGCGAAACAGGAGGTTTTTTTTCTAAACTGACACAGAAATTGCCATTAGCCTAAATTGCGTGAAAATTAAACAAAAAGGAACCTTCTACCACATGTGGTGGACATGCCCCGAAATTGGGAAATTTTGGAGCATGATCCACGAAGAAATAAAGAACATACTAAGAATATCATAGAGTAAAAGGCCAAAAGCATTCCTTTTAGGAATTTTAAATGATGATATTCCAAAAGACAAAACTATTTTTTTCTTATATGTGACTTCTGCAGCAAGAATTTGGGTGGCTAAGTATTGGAAAGGGAATCAGTTACCCAATAGGGGAGAATGGTTATGTAAGCTTTCAGAATATTTAGAATTAGCCAAATTGACAGATATAAGACAAATACCAAAAAGTGAAGTGAAAAAGGAATGGGAGTGCCTAAATGAATACCTTAAAAGCCAAGGTTCAAGGACAGAAATCTCACTGAGTCTGGAATAACCTTGTGAAGTGAAAGGATAAGAAAGAGGGATTTATATCTAGATGCTAGAATAGAGATGATAAGGAAACAGGAAAACAGGAAAACACAATGAGAGGTAAAGGAGGTGCTGTGGGATTGGTGGAAGTCCATGTTTGTTTTTCTTTTTAGTGTTTGTATTACTAACTTGTAAGATATGGATTTGTGTTTTTTGTATGCTGGTTTTTGTGTTTTGTTTATTATTTTTTGATATTTTTTGTGCTGTTGTGTGGAAAATACTAATAAAATTTATGTATTAAAAAAAAATAAAAATCAAAAAATTCTCTTGAGCCCAATTTTGGACCGAAACAATCTAAAAATTAATTTGAGGTTATCTCATAGATATCTACACATTAAAAAAAATGAAGAAAATCTGAGTCGTGAGAGCACATGGCACCAGGTGATTTGGCGTGGAATGACCCTTTTATGAGCCAGGATGGGCAAGGATCAAGGAGACAGGTGGTCGGTTTCACTCGTCCAAGGAGCCTGTCCACATCCTTGGAGATAACAGATTGGAATTGATCCCACACAACTTGACCAGACAGGACTCCAGCACTCTCCCGCCCCCGCCCTACTCCCACGGTGGAGTCCACCTCTTTCTGTATCTGATCGACTATCTGCAAAAAACTTTGCAAAATCATTGCAGGAGATCTTGGGGTCCTTACCAGGCCCCGATGGTGAAGGTGGTTCCGTTAGATTGCGAACCACCTGAAAGAGTCTCCTGCTGCTGTTTTCTGCAGATGCAATGGGGCGGTGAAGAAGCTCCTCTTCACTGTCGCTATCGCCACTTGGTAGGCTCGATGTTGAGCTCTAACCCGTGTCCATTCTGATTCAGAATGAGTTTTCCGCCATCAGCGCTCTAGCCATCTCAGCGATTGTTTCATCACCCTCAGCCCTGGAGGAAACCACAAGGCTGTCCTGGCTCCATGCAATCGGAGTGGGAGCTTCAGAGCCAGACAGTCAATAGCCCTGGTTAACTCCAAATTCCAGCAGGCCACCAGGAAATCAGCTGAAAGGCCAACAACACTGGATAAAACATCCCCTACTACTCTCTTGGAAGCATTTCAATCCATTAAGTGGTGGGGGCGGACCATCCAAATCAGTCCCGCCACCCTGCAGAGGCGAAGGGTCATGGAGAAGTCCAGTTGCACCAGGAAGTGATCTGACCATGGCACTTATTTTGTTTTGCTTTTACTTTGTGTCAGATCACCGAAATCCATAGAGGTGAACAACAGGTCTAAGGCATGTCTGCAGTTCTGAACTCCTGTCTTTTCAACAAATTAATGCTCACAATGTATTTGGCACCAGAGAAACTAGCACCTTAGTCTGGAAAGCAGCTGAGTTTCCCAGAGCCGATCAAACCCGCACCTGTGTTGTGCATTCCTCCCCATTCCCATAACCACTAATCATTACTGCGGGCCCCCGGTGCTTATCAGGGTTCCCATGAATTAAAGTCACTTCAGAGCCAGTATTCAGCAGAGCCAAAACCCTCTGAACATTTCCATGTGTAGTGGAAATGCAGAAGACAATTGTATTTCGAGGAGTTAGGTGGCATGTCCCTTTCCCTTTAACATCCCCAGTTTGAGGACTGCTGGATTCTTGTGTTTCACACACCTGTCGGGAGTTTCTTGGGTTCTTCTGTGTTGCAAGTGCTGGCTGGATGCCTGGCTGCAGGTAGTGGGAGACTCTCAGCCGCTCTGTATTAATCATGAGTAATGCCAGGTGCCCTTGATTACATCAAGGCAGGCTATAAAAGCCATAGGTGGGAGGGGCCCGGAGAGCTTCTACCCAAATCAAAGGACCTGATGCTGGGAGACCAATGGTCGGGGTCTTTCTCCTGCTGCTCTACCTGGGGCTCTGGGCAGCTGAAGCAGAGATTGGGTAGCCCCTGTCAGGTATGTTTTATTTTATGCTTTGCATGCCTGCTGTTTATTTGTTACTAAAACTGTTTTGATTCCCCTTCCATCTCCTCATTCCTTTTGTCCTTGATATCCT